TCTTATGTTGAGCGCTGCACCTCGTGGTGCTTCATCATTGTTGTTCAGTTGTATTTTTTTTCTTACTTTTCCTGTTTTCATCTTTATCCTGTTATGTTAATACATGAATAGGACGACGTGTTAAAGATGTCTGAGGAGACCGAGCTTGAGGTAGCCAGCTCGAATGACGATAGAACCAGAAGCCATGCCAACTGTTTTAATGTAGCCTGCTCTTATAGTACCTGACTCTACAGAAGTGGACAGCTGGGGCTCAGAAGTCCACCAATACCAGAGTTTGTGGTTTGATTCCTTGACCCCAGTTACTCATGATGGTCAGACCAGCAGCATGCCTCCTGGCTTTGAGCAAACAGTGTGTATGAAATTACAAAGCTCTCTGGATAAAAGCACTACATAAATGCAACCCATTTGCCACTTACCATTGTACAGCTGCACTCACTACTAAAAATGTCAGAAAATAACTCAAACACTGTGCAAATATGGTGAACAGTAGAACAGAGTATCAGATCATTCGCGGACAAGTAGGTGTTAAGTGACGTGTTGATACAGAGTATAATATAATCCTGGTGTGGTTGAAGTTGAGTGTTTGAGCAGAGGACGCAATCCAAACATGGTTTTAAGGGGAAAACATAGTTAAAACATGTGCTGCTGCAAAGTTATGTGAGGTTGCAGTGTATTTTTTACCTGCTAAGTGGAGTCATGTGACAATGACAGCTAGTTCTGCTCCGTTTCCCAGGCAAATCTAGATGAAACACAGATGAGCTCGTCTCCCTTCCTGAGGGCTCTGATGACAGCTGTGTGTAAGGCAGCAGTGAAAGGTAAGCCACTCCACCACCTGGAGAAGACACTTCTCTGTTCTGCTTAAATCCCACCGCTGATTGCAATATTTACACTCTGCCAAATTGCGAGCGGGCCGGCTCAGCATGCACTCACTCTGCCTCCTGCTTTGCTGTACAGATGATAACACCAATTGTCGAGTGGACACGGCCATGATCCAGAGGAGATTGCCTGTATTACTCAAGTACCTTAACTCAGACACTGAGCGACAGCTGCAAGCACTTTATGCACTTCAGGCGCTGATCGTTGCCCTCGATCAGCCTCCAAGTAAGTTCTGCATCATAGTTTATAAAACTAATAAAACCTGCTGCTCTTAGCTTTCCTTACTAGCACCTTTCTTTTGTTATTGCTGATTAGAGCTCAAATACTGGCTACAAGTGGCTGTACATGTAATGATTAAGACATTTTTTTTATTCATTTAAAGAACTTGATCTCACCACAGAGTTCTTACAAGTAAATTCTTAATAGTTAGTGGCTGTTTCCAAGGTAAAGAATGATTGAACTAAAAGTCTCAGTGTTTCTCTGTGGAGGATTTGCATAAATAAACTTGATGAGAACTTCACTGCAGTTTAGTTCTCAAGGTATAATAATATAATGTGTTTCAAGGAAATATATCTTGCAGTTATGTCAACATGGGTTAGGTAGGGTTTGCAATAGACTGTATATAAAAGATGGTCACATTTTTTTTTTACTGCTTATGTTGATTCTATGAAAACTAGTAGTGACTGTATTTAGACAAGAGGTTAGAGTGTCACTTTGTCAGATAAAGCATATAAAGCTGCATTCATAAACTACATGCACAGGTGCACAAACACTCACAGATAACCAAACAAGACCAAGAACAAAACACTAGACTTCAGTAGCTTTCTACTACGGTCATAAAAAAATTATTTCCATCTACCTTGTTTTATATTTTTAACTGCAAGCCTACGGTCTTGTACCATTCCATACACCCTAAACAGAGCAGTGACAGAAGATAAGACTCTGATTAAGTCTGAAACAGCATGAAAAATGGAACTGTGGTGAAGTTGGTATTGCCTTAACAAGCATTCATTGTAATGACCAGCAGGGGGCATCTTCTCTAGCTGCAAAAAGGCAGGATTATATAGAATGTGTATGGGGGGAAAATGGTCTTCAGCTGACTGTATTTGTGACCTCAGTAAACTGTTTCCTGATTAATTTCTGTGCTCATTTGCTGGTTTCAAGTCTTGACGACTAAAAAACGAATTAAATTTAGCAAAATACGCCTAATCTTTAAGTCACAAAGGCGGATAAGCTTATTGGCTACAGCCTCAACCAGGTGTGCGTGTGTGTGTGTAGTTTAAGTTGCCTGCCTGAAGGCTTCACTGTGTTAATGTAACTTTTCAATCAGTCTTGTTTCTTTTTGGCTGGTTTTAAATTTATTTTCTAGTTCCTTTAGAATGAAAAGGAACAGGGTTCAACTTTAACCTAATTTCGAAAAGAACTTGTCAAACAAGGTGACAGTTGAATATTTGTCTGTCTTCTAGACCTCCTAAGGATGTTCTTTGACTGCCTGTATGATGAGGACGTCATCTCGGAGGACGCTTTCTACAAGTGGGAGTCGAGCAAAGACCCGGCCGAGGAGCAGGGCAAAGGCGTGGCCCTGAAGTCCGTCACGGCCTTCTTCACCTGGCTGCGCGAGGCAGAGGAGGAGTCTGAAGATAATTGACGAGGGAGACACCCGGGGACGCGACTTAGTAGAACTGTATCCTCGCAGCAGAACAAACTTTCAAAATGGCTGCGTGGGCAGGACGACATGTTTACGGCTGGAATTTTTTTCTGCGGTACGGTTCTGAAACATGCCGCCATTTTGAGTTTGGATCCCAACGGTGGAAGCACTAAATACCTGTATTATACATAGAAAATATTTTTTTTTTAAATTTTAACTTACTTTTCTTTTGTTACTTTTTAAGAAGAGACTTAAAAGATACATAGGTTCTGGACTCTTTAATTTATTATTTTTTTAAGGACTGCAAATATGAAAGTTATTTAACATTTGCAGATGCTCACAATGAGAACAAGACGGCAGAAATAACAATATAATTAATTATAATAACAAAATAATAATTGTGAAATAAACAGCCTCCCCGGATTCCACACTGTTTGGTTTAAAACAGAGTAAAGCAAAATTATTTTGGGATGAAGGGGAAGCAAAAAAAAAGAGGAGTTGAATGCACAGGAACTATTAACATTGTCCAAGGTCAAAGGTTATCTTGTAATAACCAAGAAGTGTCTCCCTGAGCCTTGGCTTGCTCTGCATTGATATGTACATACACCTCATGAGAGGTAGAGGTATGCATTCAAGAAGCGAACAAGTCAAGTCGAACTGTCACACAAACGTAGACGAACAAACCAGATTCATTCAGATGGAATGAGCAACTTCAAAAAGCAAATGGCCAGAGTCGCTGAACATGACATGCTTGTAACACTTCAGACCTACAGAGCAGATTAAAGCTTGTAAATACATTAAAGACAAAAAAAGGTATTTAAAAAAGTGCTTATTCTCGTGTTTTCGTCTCTTCTTTTTGGGGGGAAAGGTGGGCTGCCAGATTATTTTTTTGACGCGTGTGTGTATGTGTGTGTGTGTCTAATAAACTGAGCCAGTGTTTGAAGAAAAACAGTTTTAAATCCAGGAAGAAGCAGCTGGAATCCCCTGGAGCCACCGGGAAGTTGAAATCATTGCAGCGCTTCTTCTCATGCTCGTATTCGATGTAAACATTCGTACGTTTATATTTAACGTCTGTTACGTCACGCACCCGTCATCACATGTGCTTTTAGGGCTTGGGTTAGATTAACAGCAGCAGGCGACACTCCTAGCATGAATGACTTTGACACACGTTCACCGATGAGGTCGATTCTCTTGTCACTGTTACAGGTTTCATAGGTTTTTGAGCACCGGTACTGGATTTTAAACAATTAAGACAGGATTGAAGTGAGGGGTTTAACAAAAGTATTGCATTTACTGTGGAGGAATTACAGCCATTTTTCTTTGTATCCGTCAATGACAGTTTATTGGCTGCTATTCTGGGGAATGGTTTATCACTTGAGGTTTGTCTTTTTTTTTTCTTGCAAAATGGTGCAGCCTAAATTAGAAAATGTTCAGCTTATTTGACAAAACAATTTAAAGAAACCCCAGGGTGTTGTAAAACTGACTGATATAGAGAAAACAAGCAATTAAGAAAACGATCTGCGGATTTTACAGCAACAGCACATTGTAATGCAGCATCATGAAACCATTAGCTGTAATAGAACGTGTTTGTTTTTAGCTGTTCACTTTCCCCTGAAGGGTTTCTTTAATCTGTCTGGCTCGTCAAAATCTAAATACTGTTCTGATTAAAGTTGGATGTCTGCCACTTTAATGGAGAGTAAACTCGGAGCATTAATCAAGATAACCATTTTCATTGTTCCCTTCAAAAACTACAGATCCCACAAATTATAGCTTTGTCCATCCAGGCATTATCCCGTCACACATGTGAGCAACACTTTCTCTGATTTCACTTTTCAGGATTTACCTGTGTGGCCAAAACTGCTCTTGAATTCAAGGATATCTCAGCTGTGAAATAAGCAACATCTTCCATGAAGTTTTTGTTAGGATATGTCAAAGAAAATTCACAAAAAAGCAGGAAAAACAGCATTCTGACTTAATAATAATTAAGAAATTATAAAAACTCAAATCCAGAGTGACATAATGATGTTATGCCTTTTGTCTTTTCAAACTATAATGATTATAATTGTTTGTTTTGTGTTTCTTAACAAGCTTGTAGTTTATTTTTGTTAAATTTTTTATTTTTTGTATTTGTTTTAGACAGTTTCTGTTTTTGTGTTGTTTATTTCTTTTAAGGGGATTAGATAGAAATCTATTACAAAGCCTTTTTTAACGTGATATTTTTGTTTCGTTTTGGGGGTTTTGATCATAGTTTTGTTTTTTAGGTTTTTTTAGGTTTTTTGTATTTATTATTATTATTATTATTATTTCTACGGTTGTATCAAGCAGTTTCATCTTGTTCTTTTGAGATTTTTCCTTTTGTTTTGGTGTTTTGTTTTGTTTTGTTTTTTCTTCTTGCTTTTTGTGTGGGTGGAGAAGGGGGATAGAGGTGGAGGTGGGTCAGCCTCGACGGTGGGAATCCTTCGCTGTGCGTCGTGACGCAGCACGTTGCAGTCCTAACGGGGCGGGGCTCGTAAACAGAGGAATCGAAATAAAGGATCGTGCAGAAATTTAGCCCAAAGTGTTTCCGTTTTCCCCGACGTGTTAAAGGTAAGTTTGGCTCGCGTGCTGAGAAATTGTTTGCTAAACATGCAGTTGCACGGATACGGTTCGGGAAGCAGCCGGGGGTTTTCACTTTGTGCAGCTGGAATGAATTTCATCTGCCTTGTGAGACGCCATTATTGTGTGTATAAACCGACGGACAAAATGGCGAAAACTGCTGAAAAATCCTGGCACCTCGTCCTCTGGCTCCCGTGGACGTGATGGAAATCCGTTGGCAGAGACTGACCCATCAGCGGGGCAAGCTTTGCGCCGTTTTGTAGGCGCTCAGCGTTTTGCGAAAAGCAAACAGCACCTTTTCTTCAGTTGGGGGATAAAAGGCCTCAATGAATGAAGGGGGTTTGGCACCAGCGGCAGTTTTAACCCTGTGCATACACAAAATGGGCCTCAAACCAGTGAAGCCAGTTAAACCAACAGTCCTATCCAATTTCTAACTAGTATTAACAGATATTTATGAGCTGTAATAATTGTACATGTGCAGTGTGAAATTTATAAATCTTTATTGTATCTTTTATTCCTCAGAACTCATTCTGTAGATTTAAGTTTAGCATGTTTTGTTTACCTGACGGACATGAAGAAATTACCTGAAATTGGTGATATAACTACTCAAACATACCGTTAATAACACATCTTGAATCCTAATAATTTACTTGTAAAATAAATAAAATCTACGGATGCACTAATTTATAAAAGGCGAACTTCAAAGAACTTAAAAAACAAAAACAGCTATTTGTCAGGTAAATATCAGCTTCATTGATCCACAGGTACAGTACGGTTTATGTAGTTGGGGTTTTTTTTGCGAAGTGATTAAATTTACATATCAAAAATTTCACTCACAAAGCCAAACAATGGTTGTGCTCATGATCTTTTCTGGTTCTTCAGGTAAATCTCCTGTGATGCCGATTCGCAGAGCAGCAGCGACTCCGACCCAGGAGAAGACCCCCTCCGCTGCAGCAGAGAAAGGTAAGGGTGAGGTAGTCCTCCACCTGCACCCTGTCAAACCCTGGCCCCGCCCCCTGCCAGCCATCAGCCGCATCTGTCGCAGTGTTCAACTTCAACCAATCATTCATTCTCTCAACACAGAACGAGCAAAACTCATCTCCAGTTCTTTTTTTCCAGTATTTATTAGGAAAATAGAGTAATTTAGGTTTCTTGTATACTTTATAGCAGTTATACATTCACATTTATATTATATAGTTACAGTTTCATATAGATTTGGTTGTTTAATGATTAGTGTTTTATTTAAAATGTTTTAGTATTAGTTTTGTCTCATAAGTAATTCAAAATATATCATCTTAATTGTGTCACTTGACTCATAATCCTGCAGATTTGTCACACATTTGCACTAAAGCCTCATTATGCTTTTATGTTGTTTTATGTTCCTGTTTATTTTTTTTAATTAAAAAAAATACACTAATGTTGCATTTTATGTAATGCAGTATTTTCCCTTCCAGTTTTATTTTTTCATTAAAAACTTTAAAGACCTCGAGTCATACTTTTATGTAAGTTTAATAATATCAGCTTTACACTATGAAGAAAAATAAAGGCGGTATAGTGTTTTTAAGGTTTTATTTTTAATGCTTTCTCAGAACCTGAAGCCTCCTCGGAGGAGTCGCCCGCTACCGAAAAGGAGCAGGCCGCGTCATCAGCCGCAGCAGCCGATGGCGACGAGGGCAGCGCTGCGGGCAAGACGGCGCCCGCAGAGAACGGGGAAAAGGCCGACGGTGCTGCAGCGGAAAAGGAAGGAGAAGGGAAAGATAAGAAAGAGTGAGTTTCACCATAAGATAGTCTGCAAGCGTGAACGGTGCGATATTTCACTTTGATAGCACTTTTATCTGTTTATATTATCCTTACCTCTGCTGGATAACTGCAGACTGCTCCTCTCGTGCAGTGTTGCATTTCTAAAAGATGTGAGTTGTCACATCCACATTCATTCCCTGCATCATAGCCATCAGACAGATGTGCGCAGTCTTGGAGGAGTCCAGGAGGAGAGGACAGTGGCATCGTAACAGTGTGAGGATTTTCTAACGCCCCAGTCCAAGTGATCAGTGATATATACTCACATTTCTAATAAAATCTAGCACTTTAGTTTAGCTCTGATGATCACGGTTTTTGGGCTGGTCGCAAGCCTTTACGGACTCTTTTGTTTTTGTTTTTCTCCCCCTATAAACTTTAGCTTTTGTAACATAGAATTTTGGCCTCCTCCTCTTCCTCTCCCAAACCTTGCCAAAACAGACCTTCACCTTTTTTTCTTTTTTCTTTTTTTTGCACATTGATCATTAGCACTGCAATTCAGTGAGGGTCAAATTACCATGGTGGTCATTAAGACAGATGTTCTCAAATTTCATTTTGTCTTTCCCGTCGGTGACAAACGGACAAAGTGACAAATGCAAGGACTGCGCGGCTGGACAGTGCGCAACACACTGCTATGTTCTCCTACTAAGGTGAGGATGTGATAAAGATAAGGGTGGTAACGATCACAGTGAAATATCGCTTTTAAAGAATCAACCGTCATGACTGAAATTGTGTCTTGCTGCTTCTGGCAACAGGTTGAAGGATGGCTACAAGTACGAGAAGTCTAAAGTCAAGAAGGTGAAACGGACGATTCCGGCGTGGGCTAGCGTCACTGCGAGCAAAAAGGTCCCTGTTACCAACTTTGCTGGCACTCAGAACAAAGTGGATAACATCCTCATTGAAGCCATCACGGTGTGTGCAAACGCTGTAAAATGAATCTCTCGGCACACAGCCGCTCTCTCGATTATTTATTTATTCGTTGTCCGTTTCCTTTGTAGTCTTGCAATGACAGGTCTGGAGTTTCATACCAATCTGTCATGAAATATATCGTGAAAAAATACCCAGGGATGGAGCTTGACAGGAAGAAGTTCCTCATCAAGAAGTCCATGAAGAAACATTTGGAGAAGGGAACCATCAAGCAGGTGAAGCAGCCAAGAAACTGTCAGAAGTGCTCTGTTTTTCTCAAGGATTTGTGGTTTTAAGTCTACTTACTTGTGCTTTAACTGTCTCTCTCACGTAGTTGAAGGGGAAAGGTCTTTCAGGGACCTTCGCCATTGGGAAGCAGACTCCCCTGTCTAAGGTACGTCACAACAACTTGCAAGATGCTCAGTCTTAATACTTTATAGGTGTTGGGAATTTCTTAGGGTTGAGTGTTAGCAGTTTCCCCGTGTTTGAAGTCCTAACGTCGAGCCAAGTATCTGGATGTAGCATGTATATGAATGCTATAAATCATTTCAGTTGTGAGATTTGCTCTAAGCCCACTTCATGTGCACTACAGCTGGTAGGTAAAACAAAGGTGACTACACCTCAACGATCATCTCCTGGTACTCTTCTGCATCACAAATGCTTGTTAGAAGCCCTGATCTGACAACTTCCTCATTTTTGATGCATATTTTTCTCATTCTTTCTGTAAGAGAATGAGGGGGGGGGTCCAGTGTTTCTAATCATCAGCACACTTGTATATGCCACAATTAATGTTGAAGGGATTCTCCCAACAAAGCCAGAGCAGATTGACACTCTGAGAAGGACAAATTCTTGGTCTGTAACTTGCGACTGGATGGCTATGAAGCGTGAGCGTTAGCTGATTTGTCACCTTGAGATGTGGAGAAGGTCTTCTGCTGAAATGCAGAGTGAAAATTGTCATTTTGCACATACAAATCATCAGAGACTTCCAGGGTACAATTTTGAAATTGGTGACTGCAAAGGAAGTGGTCTAGATGGTCCCCAAGGAGACGCACTTGCAGGAGATTTAAACATTTTTTTTTTTTTTTAAATTAAGGTAAAGTGTTTGATATGGGCCTAACGTGTAGTGTCAGCATTTTCCTTTTCGCCATTTTTCCCCGAGACTGGGATATGTTTGGTTGTAATTGTCATGTCTGTAAATGGATGTTGTTTTAGAAAGCTGCTCAGAAGCAGGAGTCTCTGGGAGACGCTCTTCCTCTCATCATCACTCGGCTCTGTGAGCCCAAAGAGGCCTCCTACAACCTGATCAAGAAGTACCTGGAGCAGCACTTTCCCAGCTTTAACATCGAAAACAGGTGCAGCGTATCACCTCTTCTCCGTCTAATGTTGTTTCAAGATGCAAGGTGCTCTTTATCATTGACTCGTTTAATTCGTATATAAAAGATGGTTGTGCCATTGTGGTCAGAAGTTGCCATACACTCATCATGGGCAGGAATGTCATGGTAATTTTGGGCTTTTAAATATTTAAACTGTTTTTCCAGGGTGGAATGATTGTACTGACATACCGGTACTGCTTTAACTGTATTGTGTTTAAAAGCTGTAAGCTGAAGATGATTTACTCCTCAGGCCAGAAGTCTTGAAGTCCGCCCTGGTGAGGGCTGTTGAGAAAGGGCAACTGGAGCAAATAACTGGGAAAGGAGCGAGGGGGACTTTCCAGGTAAGTCTCCTCCTTAACACTTTGTTTTGCTCAAAAAAGAGGAATGCATTTGTTTGTTTGTTTTTAATGGGAAACAAACATTTAATTTTTGGTTAAGAAAAGGCCTCCTTGGACAAAAAAAATGTCTTCTGTTAACAGAAAATGAAATAGAGCAGTTCTAGATAATGTCTTTTTTTTTTTTTCTTTTTTTTTTAAGTCGGACCTATCTGAGATAGTCATGTAGCAGTTGCCACCAGTTACTAACACCTAAACATTTCAGGACCCGCTTTGTTTCCACGTCACAGACAGGACCACAGAGCCAGTCAGTGTGCCAGCTCGGGCTTCATTGTTCTTTTATACTGTTGCATAGAGGTAAACGACAGGTTGTTTCTTTGTACGTGAGAGAGCTGCAGACTTTGTTTCCTAAAGTGCTTCTACCCACCAGCTGAAGCGTACCGGCAACAAGGTCCTGCTCAAGGGTGGCACTTTGGAGGACGCCATCACAGCTGCTATCACAGCCATGAATGAACCGAAAACCTGCAGCACCACAACTCTACGGCGATACCTTTTAGACGCCAACAAGGACAGAAAGGAGTACCAGTTAGGTAAGTTAGGTAATCCTACGTGGCTCAACAGGATTCCTGAGACCGATTGCACTACATGGACATAGTAAGGGTGCCTTATCTACACACGCTGCACCATCTGAAACTACAACTAGACACAACACTCGCTTTCTCTTTAAACAAATCACAAGAAATGCAGCAGGTGAACCCTTTAAACCTGGTTCTTATGACTGAGCCCTTCAAGCCTTCTGCAATGATTTTGGTGTTTTGCTAGTAAACTATCCCCTCACTCTTATTTTGAAAGTTAATTTGCTGCTAGCCATGTTTCATTAACAGCAGACTGACGGGTCGCTGTTGTTGAGGTTCTCAGTGTCATTCTGCGGTCTCTCTGTTTTGTGGACTTAAACTCCTTCACCGTGAACTGCAGCTGCAAACGGTAGTTCTTCCATATTATCTGAGACCCATTCAGAACCTGCAGGCGGTGGAGAACTGAGCTGAGTTCATCACCATCTGCACAGCATATCAAGGCCTACCGTCACCAGCTGCTGTTCAGGATGATGGAGGATCTGCACGACTATCTGATATCTGCAGCTGATTAAGACTATAATTTCTTTCTTTCTTCTTTTTTTTTTCTTTATTAAAAAATTAGCCAGCAGCTCAAACACACATAGCACAAGTTTCAGTTAAAACTTTTTTTGCATCAACAATGGCGTCACCAGCAGAACTTTTTTTTTCTCCTCTCTTCTCTTTAGTGGCCAATCTTCGGAGGACCCTGACAAAGTGTAAAGTACTCGGATGGATGGAGCAGATTACTGGTCACGGCTTCAACGGGACCTACCAGCTGTCGTTCCCTTTCTACCCGAGGTATTTCACTTGCATCTGGAAATCCCCGACCCTTTAATACTGAATTTATTTTTCTTTCTGTCTGATAAAGGAGCTTTGTCTGTGCAGCTTCTGGAATTCTTTGTTCTTTCTTTTCTTGATGTCTGATCCTTTTTTCTTGTCCCCTCCTTAGTCCCACCATCCTGTACCCAGACAAGTTCAAAGAAATTCCAAAGAAAGATGCTGCACCTCCGACCAAGCGAAGGCGAACAGTTGAATCTTCAGACGAAGACGAGGAAGAATCAGAAGAAGAGGAAGAGTCTGAGGATGAAGCCCCGGCCCGTAAGAGGTGCATATACCTGTTGCAGCTCGACTCCTAATTACATGCTTGTAGTTAAACGTTTAAAGATGGGTCCTACTCCATATATCAGTCCAGTCTTTTGTAATGACAGCCGTCCATCCCACGATGATTAACAATTCAAGTGGAGAATTGTTTTTATTTATTTATTTTTAACAACTGCTTTTTGTTAAAACGACTCTTAGGAAACCTCCGAAGAGGCCTCCACCAAAGGCTCGTCGTCCTCCTCCAACCAAGAAATCTTCGAGCGCTAGTCAGTCAAAAGCTAAAGGCAGAGGACGTTCGCTCGCAAAGAAGTCTCCAGCCAAGAAAGCAGCATCTTCGGCCAAGAGCTCGGGAAAAAAACAACCAGCCCCTAAGAAGGAATCCGAATCGCCATCTAAAGCCACACCTGTCAAGAGAGGCGCCCCTGCAAAAAAGCCCAAGACACCAGCTGTTAAAAAGCTAAACAAAAGGGGGGCCAAGCGACCTGTGTCCAAGGAGTCGCCCCCCAAGGAGCCTACAGCCACAAAGGAGACGACAAGGAGCGGGTCCAAGCGCTCCAAGGCCGAAGAGTCGCCTCCTGAGGCGCCTGCAGCTAAAAAGCAGGCAGCCAAGAGTGGATCCAAACGACCCGCAGAGTCGTCCCCTGCAGAGCCCGCAGTGAAAAAGGGGGCCAAGAGCAGCAAGCAGTCTGCTCGCAAGTCTAAGAGAGGGAAATACTGAACCCAGGAGCGTCTTCTACAAACTGGGCTGAATATCCAGCAGTCTGCCGCTTTAGTTTCAGTGCTTTCTCTCTCTTTATATCATTGTTTTCTCCCTCTTTATGGGGCAGTAGGGTTTTGTTTTTTTATTTCGATTGTAGAATAAGAACCTTATCCTACCAGTTAATTGAACTTTGAGAGTTTCTGAATTTTATTTTTTAATCAGTGTGTAGGAAAGCTCCGTTAGTGTTATCGGCGAGGCTGCCGTCTTGGGAGACTGTAGGAACATCAAGCATACTTTAAAACTAGAGCCACGTAGCGACTTCGGTTTTGTTATGTTTTTCTTTTTCGATTTTTGTTTTTTGGTTTGTTTTTGTTTACACATGTTCCTCGTGTACTCTGTAGTTGCTGGCAGCACACATTCCTAATCTCAAATCAAAGATCAGTGTTCTAGAAGGATGAAAACGGCGTCAGTTTTATGTTGAAAAGTGGGTTTAAAAGTTCAAAAGAGTTACTAATGTTGTTAGTACTTTATAAAAGACAGAAATTTGAAATTTCTGTGTTTTGTCCCGGGATTGAATCAAAATGTGGTCATGCAACTAATGCATACAAATCTGAACTGTAATCTGTGTTCCTCATTTATGTAGTTTCCTTCTTTATTATTATTATTATTAACTATAATTTATATTTGGTTATTTAAACAGATATAGCCCCCCTGGGAAAAAAAAAAGATTAAACCTGCAGGTGCCAAGTTGAGGATAAAATACTGTTAGTATTCAAGTCACACTGAGGGGAAAATGTCTTTTTGAGGTGTGTGTGTGTGTGTGAGTGTGGGTGTAAACAAGCATATACACAAATTGATTTTATCGCTTCACATCTGTATTCAGTACCAAACTGTAAGAAATGTGTGTTGTGGAAAAAGGAGGATAATAGGATAATAACTTCCCTGCATGCATGTATCCCTTGTGTTGTTAAGCTTTTTTCCAAGTCATTAATAAAATGGCTATATTTGTAGACTGTTGCAGTATTTATTTATTTTTATTTAGTGGGCAATGAAAATGTCACATCTCATAAAGTGCCTTTGTCCCATTGATGATGAAAATCTAATTATTACAGCAGGAAGGTAGACAATTCAGAATAAACAGATGAAACTTATAACTAATGTTTTACAGCAACAGAAAAAAAAATTCTATATACGGTAGAAGAAATGTAATTTAAATTTATGTATATATGATATATTTTCCCATCTTTAGATGCATAGCAGCAGTGTTGCACTTTGATTTCAGTCCCCAGCGTGTGCATGTGGTCTCCTGAGTCTGACAGCAGCTTAAAGGAAAGGGCTCTGATGTCTCATCTTCAAGGATGCAGTGGCCTGTCACTGAAGGGCTGATGATTAGTGCTGTCAGAGTGTGCTGCACGGGGTGGGAGGTGTTCTTCAACAGGACTGACAGTTTAGCTGCCATTATCCTGTCACTCACCACCTCCACTGGGTCGAGAGGTCGTCCCAGAACGGAGCTGGACATCTGAATCGGCCTGCTTCTGTCCTCAGAGATGCTGGTGCCCCAGCAGACCGCAACTTAAAAGATGGCGGATTGCCACCAGAAGAGGTTTTCAGGAGCTCCATCTGAACTCCAAAAGATCTTAGTCCTTATAGCAGATACAGCCCCCTCTATCCTTTCTTGTAAAATTCAGCAGGTTTTCCTCCTGATTGTCTTTGTCATTAAAACCCCCCACAGAAAATGTAAATGGTTAGCATAGCCGTGGGGACGGGCTCAGAGAGCATATGCAGTACATTTAATGAAAGTAATTACACCAGGCCATTGCTAGCGCACATCGAGCAAAAATCTTCAAGACTGAAATATTTTCCACTTACTTTAATTCCCAGTTATTGTTAGATCTTTAATAAAGAAATGCTACATCATATACCCCTCTTGCATGTATGCAAAACTTTTCCCCACAGGGCATTTGCTTTTCTATGTGGGCAGCTGTAAATTAAAGTCAAGCTTCACGTTGTTGAATTTGGGGGGCTTCTTTCTAGGTCAACACTCTCTGTCTGTGATGCTGGGGTTCCAGGAGTTTTGACTTCATGGCAGGCTTGAGCCATGATGGCTACAGGTTGTTGCTCAACATCCTAACCAATTTCCTCTCATCTGAGGGGGACAGTTTGGGTCTTCTTTCAGACCTTGGCAGTGTGACAATGCATCCAAATAACTTATACACACGTACAGCAGTTTGAACTGATGATCTTGTAATCCAAGAGAGCTTCCCAAATCCTATAAATTTACAATTCTCCTTCTTAAATCTTCACTGAGTTATTGCTTTCCCATTGCTCTGAGTGTTGGTCAGTATCCTGTCAAAGAAATCCTCCTTTTTAAACTACTAAAAGTAACTACATTAAAAGTTACCGGGCCCACAATGGGTGTATGTCAGCTTTTAACATGTATAACCAGAAGTATAAACTGTAGATAAAAAGTGGAGAAACAAGTATTCTGAGCGTTTACTTAAGCAAAATGTATATTCCCACGTATCATTATAAAGGTTTTAAAATACTACTGAATCACACTGACTCATTGTGTATCGCTGTAATGTTGCTGCACCTTAACTTTTTGTATTTTTATATCTGTATCTAATAACACAACATAGCATATGATAAAATCTGCAAAATAATAAAATGGCACGGCGTACAAATTACAGTGTTATGACCCCAAATATCGTTTCTGAAGTAAAAAACGAGTACTATCGGGAGGAGGTGTGTGTGGTGGTGGTGGTGGGGCTTAAAATAGATTTAACTTTTGGACCCAAAGTTCATCTAGACACAAGTTTTCCCATGCAGGCTGCCATCTTGGTGACGCCTCCAGTTATTTCTCGCAGGTTTTACCCAGTGGACTTTCAGTGCACAGCTTTTAACTATAAATTAATATAGTGTAATTTTAAAATACTTTTATTGACACATACTGTTATTTTTGGTTTTGCTGCGTGAGCTTGAATTCTTGCGCGCTGTGTGGGAATGTCAGGCGGAGTGGACAGAAACCGCTTCAGGGGGAGGGTGATGTGATTCATTGAGCCATTCCGTAAGTTTCGTGTTTTGGTTGATTTAGTTCTCACGTAGACCCTCTTTTCTTTCTTCTCCTCCTCCTCTTTCTCCGCCTTTCTTCA